GCCGATTATACATGATACATATCCTATTGCTCTGCAGCAGAGCAGCAACTTTGCAGTATATTGTGAGACAATGAAGTGCTGTTGTGACCGGTGTAATCTGCGTTGTGTGTTTTTTAATGAGTAGTAACCAGACGGACATCAGCTGACGGTTCGAGTCTTCTTTTACTGATAAGACATAAAACAGTCTTTACAGTGTTTTCGCCCTTCTTGTCTTTTCTCTCCCATGCAGAGACAGTGCAGAAAGGGGCAGAGAAAATGGTATAAAACGGTATATACAAAATTTATTTACCGAGTGACAAAACAGCATACCTGATAAAACATAAAACAGTCTTTACAGTGTGTTTTCGCCCTTCTTGTCTTTTCTGTTAAATGAATGTAAAGTGCATTCGACAGAAAACTGATCAAACTTAGTGAAAATACAGAAATAAAATATACATAAAATAATGTCACAAATATGATTTAAACAGAGTATAAAAGTGCTTTTTAAAGTAAAGATGAAATTAGATTAATCAGAGCTCATTAGAAACCCACCTCTCCCATGCAGAGACAGTGCAGAAAGGGAAGAGGAGGTGCAAAGACAGGAAATTAAGACTAACGCTGCTGTCAGAAATTTAAAGGGGAAGGTGCACACACAGACAGGCATATCAGGTATACATCGTGAACATTTTTGTAATTCTACATATGAAATTAACATTACTTTCCATACCTGTTACACTGTGTATCTTAATTCATAAACAATATTTAAAGTAATGTCAGTTCAAAGATGTAAGCATATCCATTGCAACAAAAATAACACATCACAAGATCACTTTGGAAAGTTTATATTTGTATCCCACTTTTATATTGAGGTGAAGTGATTTAACATTGTTTAACATCCGATTTAACTTATTTAAATCAAAATAGATAGAAGTTTCTTTTTATGTTTCAACAGTCACGTTCTCTCATACCTGCTGTTTTGACGTGATTTTTTTTTTTAAATCTCCACAAACTCACACTTATCTTAATGAAACACTCTGTCTTAGCTTACATCTTTTAATTTCTAAGCCTCGGAAACCACTTTCATCACCTTTACATTTAGTTACGAACTATATAAATTGTGGAAATGATCTCAACATTTAAAACCATTTTCGCATTAGCTGTACTACGCAAAGATAAACTCTATTGTCTTTTATTCTGGGCTTTATCCCTGTAAGATTAGCTGGCTTTATTTGAGCCTGAGTTGCACGCTTTTAGCATTGATTGAAAAACTGATGTATTGTGAATGTAAATAGAGTAAAAAATGGAGGGGCCTGAAATTGAACGTGTTCTGGGAGGAAAAGGAGAATGATGAAAGGGGAGAAGGGGGTCTGTGGGGTGTGACGGAAGCACAGAGAGAAAGATGGGGAGAGAGGAGGAGTAGAGGAAATGAATGAAAAGTAAAGTGTAATTCAGTGAAAAAGATAAATAATGCAGGCAGTGGCAAATTTATATAGACGCTCATACTCGCTTCTCAAGCTCATACACAAATGCGCCGATTCAGTGACGTTTTCACACCCAGTCAGTAAATCTGCAATACACTACAAACTTAAAGTTGGCATAAAATAATTCACCCATATCTGTTTCTAAATGCATGTTAAAGATCGTATTGTGAACAAAATTTATCTGTGGTTAGCTTTAATTGTTAAACCATTTTTATGCCTCATTTTTAATAAAAATGTCATAACTGGACCTTCCGGGGGAAAATGACAGACTTACCTCTGGTGACGTATGCAGGACTTCTCAATCATTCTCAATAATTTCATCCACTTAAACCCCACCTCTGCAAGCTTACAATCATCTTCCTCTGCTTTTGAGTGCAGCGCACACATCTCAAAATCCAATCAACAACCATTGGATACAACCAAGTCCTGACCTACATTTTTTTCTTTTTAAATAATGCATCACACTCATTTATGTGTATTGCTACTTCAGTTTTGATTGCGACTTTAAAAATAAAGGTTTTTATTGACATCTATGGTTTCATGAAGAATCTTATATGGTACTTTGAGGATAATTTAATATGGTACTCATAGGTACTTATATGTACACTTTATGTATTTATTATGTATGTACTGTATATACATTTATACAACAGTTCGTTCTGGTTCTCAAATCTGACTGGTTAAGAAAAGTAAGATATTGTACTGGTATCGCTACAGGAATGCCCTTTCACAATTTTGTATCACGCTTGTTCTAGCTGGGTCTGTTTTTTTTTAAATTATTCACTGAGCTAATCGTAGAGTACATTAGTTAATATAAGAAGAAACATCTAGCTTCGCAGTCTCTCTCTCTCATTTGGATGCACGTTTTGCCGCATTGTTTCTCTCTTATAACCTCATTATTTCTCACTAATAACCTAACTGAAGCAGCACATGCCCTTGATACGAATTCTAAAAGTGACGTATGTTTAACTGTCAACTTGAGCTTTGAATCTGTGGCGGAAGGAAGTAGTTCCGCACAAAAGAGGGTTTTATTAGGCACTCCATTGTTTCTTGTTTAATTACACATATGTTCCGTCGAACTGTTGTATAAACGCAATATCACTCTCGTACTCGAGCGATACCGGCTCTATATCAGCGGCTGTGATGGCCTCGTGCCTCTGGCCTAATCACAGCCATGCTGATATAGAGCCGGTATCACTCTCGTACTCGAGTGATATTGCGTATGTATTCCCTCAAAAGGGAAATGTATATAAATAATTACAATTACAATTATTTATATCAGCTACCAGTAGTAACTGTAGCAGAATTAATATTGCCATTAACTAATGTTCAACTTATGTTTCTTCCAGCGAACATTTAGTGTAATTTCATATCAACTCTAAGAAATGATATTTTTGTGGCCACAGAAAATTACTTTCTTACAGTACTAGTGTATTAGAGCATGTTACAAGATCGGATTATTAAAGGGACATTATCTACAAGCAGTAACAGAATCAGAAACTCATGTAATTTGTGCACAAAGTTTTATTAACTAAACACTGACACAAAACTAGTCTAACAAACATAAACACACACACACTCACGTTTACATACATACACAGGGGAGTTAAAGTGGATTAATTGAAACCATTAGAGAAACAGGGAATGAAGCTATGAAACGGGGTCAGTTAACCACTGAAACCATCAGTGCCTTTTTACAACGGGGTCTACAGCTTATACTAAACCTCTGATTCTTTTAGTTAAATGTACAATACTTGCATTGCCTTGGCCGTTGAATGAGTGTCCAGATGCAGTTTTGGGTGAAAGTCTTGATGGTTCGAAGGTTTGATGGTGTTGGAATTGCAATGGCATTCTTCTGGGCTTGAAGAGAGACGAACTCCAAAGATGTTACTCTGACTAATTGAGAGAGTTCTCTCCCAGGTGAAAAGTTGCAACATGGCTTGCTGCAACTTTGATGTCCTGCTGATGCGGGGAGGCCTGCGGGTCGCGGTTGGACTGGATGTCCGAGAGGCAGGAAGTTAAGAGCACCAAAGAAGAAAGAGAGGGGGTTACTGATGTAGTGGCCTTTTAACTTCTGGCGAGGTCACACCTCCAGGGGGTCAGTGAGCCAATGGTAACTTAAACTTTCGGAGGGAATGTTTACGAGCATTTGTTTGAAAGCTGGCTCATTTGCATGATCAGAGTGGGCAGGCGGTTTGTGTCCCTTTATACTCTGATTAATATAACAAGCATACAATGCATGTTATGAGGAGGTGGTATGCACCAATGGATGGTGGAATAAACAAGGGTTATTTTGATATCAAACATGGTACCAATAGGGTTACATTATGTAATAATTCTATCATAAGGCATGCATAAAACAGTATATAATACAACAATACAAAAGACAATATACAAAACAGCATGTTTGTCCACACAATGTCCCGGGGATATGTTCATTCATTGAAAGGTTTATCTGAATTACTGAAATAAGTCATTTTCTATACACTGTATGTGTCTGTTCCACTGTAAATTAAGTGAGAGTAAAACTCTGAATTCCATTGGGCCATAAAAGCTATGTTGACTGAGGTGTCCTGGGGGTCGTTCACAGACATCCTGGCACCCAGTCCGATTGTTGGATGAGGGGTCTGTTGGATTATTTGTTAAATATAACAAATAATAATGTGTCTGATTTGAACTGCTTACTGAAAGACTCTTTGGGGAACCCAAAATGGTTCTTTTAAGGCATCACTGCGAAAACCAGTTTTTGGAACCTTTATTTTCAATAGTGTACATTTGTCAAATGCAATAAAATAGTCCAATTCTGCTATTGGCACATAGAATGCTAATGAATTAAGATTTAATTATCCTTTAAAAAATAAATAATGCGGACTTATTTCCCATTTAATCCCCCATAATGTCAATACGCATTAGTCTGTTGACACCACCCCCTCACTCTTTCTTTTTCTCTCTCTTTCTGTGGTTTTGTTGTAGTGCTATAGAGCTGATGTTATTGGAACTGACGATTTACTGCCTTGTTTGGAACTGGACCCTCTCCCACACACTTTCACCCCCCACTGCATATGCGTGGGCGAGGAGAGAGAGAGCGAGAGAGAGGGGTCCACTGCGGTTCCTACGACTGTCTACACAGTTTTTCAATGTCATCTCACAAGCTCTTTCACACACCTGAACTCACTCACACCTTAAGACTCTGTTAGGACAATCTTTTCATATTAATATTACTTCATGAAATTTTTATTCATTAAATCTAAAATGATTAATGAGCATCTTGGAGACTCTGCGGCAGCAAATGTGTGCAGCCATGTGCTTGATCACATTATTACCTTTAGCCTCCAGGTGTGTCATCTGTTGATAACACACCCATGCACATACTTCTCACTCTGCATACTGCCACATCAACCCTCAATAGGATGCCAGTGAGTCTTACTGAGCTGCGAGGAAGGGTCAGATTTATGTAATGCTGGTAAATATGCTTTGCCCCCTCCAAATAGTCAATATGAAAGACCTAGCAGAGTTGGCAGTGGATTGACAGTCCATAATGGGGCTTGGCAGAATAATGGGACTCCCTCTGGCCGTTGCATTGAGGCTGGCGAGATGTTTCACAGGCCAATGGTTTGGCACTGGGCTTGTGTACACTCAGAAAAGTCCTAATGTCCTAAAAATCGAGCCCAATGTCCTGTGTTAATATGAAGGAATTTTTAATATTGGTTTTTCGCAGGTGTTTTACCTGTATTTTGGATTGCGGATGTTTTTTCATTCCATAGTGTTATTAGTGCAATAATGTTAAATAATACATTTATACATATTTTTTTATTTTAAAATACAGTATACAGAAAATATATTGCCAATATATATATATATATATATATATATATATCATATGTTTTTGCCATTTTTAATATATTTTCAATCAAAATATATTTACATTTTTCTATGGATTTCTTTTCTTACGATGTATGTTATTATCCTTATATTGTAATCATCACAAGCACGAGCTGTAATCACAGCCTAACATGTTCATTGTGTTTACAGGATGTTGACCAACTACCATTGAACCATATTATATTACAGGTCTATATTACTGCCATATGGACATTACTTTGACACCCTCATCTTTGCCTGATAACAGAATACTTCCTAATTGTAACATTGAAACAAGCATTTTCTGTAAAGCTGCTCTGAAACAATACAGTGAAAAGTGCTATGCAAAAAAACGTGTGTGCATGTGAGAGGAAGCAAGCAAAGTGAACAGACCTACGATGCACAAACAAAGAAAAAAGCAAGGGGATGTATAAATGAGAGTCTTTAATGATACACTGCATGCTAAAGTGAGTGAAAGGACAACAGAGAAAAAGGACAAGGAAAAAAGATGAGAGCAAACGGAATGAATGAGAAGGAGAGAGAGGCAGAGAAAGATAGAGGAAGGAGGGGTGCGGCTCCCCGGGGGCTGTATGACTCACTCTCCTGCTGCTGGCTCGTGCGTCACTGGCGCGGTGCTGGAGGTGGAGATAGTGGAGAGGTCTGTGCATTTAATTATGGCCTGCCAATTTATACGCACTGTAGTGATACACGCACATACACACACACACACACACACACACACAAACACATAATCAATGAACAGATGTGGAGATTGACAGAAAAAGTTTTTTTTTTTGCACACACACAGACATCGACCATATTGAGAAATGGACTGCCAAAGAACAAACAAGCACACGTATACAAACACACTCCTTGTTTGCATTAGACTTTGTGAAAGACTGCTTGTTCACAAACAGGTCCAGCTCTAAATATTTCTTCTTATTAGCCTGTTAGCTGACCATAATCAATGTTAATACAGACAGTGAAAGCCTAAAGAGAGCCGTGCATGAATAAAACAACAAAACGGGCTGATAGAGCAGCATTTGTGCAGTATGTACTCATTAAAACATAAGCAAAAGATGCATATTGAATGAATTGTTACAGAGGTCCATGGCACATTCAAAGACCCCGTGCCTTTTGTTGACTTGAGCCGTATGCTAGAAGGCGGTGCTCAGATGGAAGGTGGAGACATGGTGGGGAAGGCAGGGCTGGACATGATTTTATCTGCACAACTCCAGATCAGGTCACTAGCATGGACGGATGTAGCCCCAAAGCAAATCATTACTGATGTGGTGACAATGTCCTCAGTGGTGCCAATGTACTAGTACCTGTTAACAGATGCAAATTAATCACATCTGTTATCATGCTAATGAATGTTTTCATTCCACATAAGACCTTTGTAAACAATGGTGCTAATTGACCCATACAGTGAAATAATATGTTCACATATATTTCAAAATACAACAAAAATATATCATCGATATAGATTTTAAATCATATATACAGAGTTCTGGCATGAAACTCTAGATGGCGCAGTCCGATAGGTCTAACTCAATCTGACATAATGACATCATCACATGGCACAGTTGATTGGTTCTCTCCTGTATCGGTAGCCAATGAGCTCGCTGCTCAACATTCAAATATATGATTAGTGCTTGTGTAACGGGGTTGTCTCTGCGTTGTGTTGTGTAAAACTCAGGATGGATACCAATTCGCGCTTGAAGACAGACTTTTATTCTGTTGACAACATTAAACAGCGGTGATCAGATTCGCAAATCACCCTCGTGCATGCTCTATAATAAGGTGAACAAACTTGATGTTACCACAAATATAATGTAGCATGAACACAAATCATACAGTATTCATTTAAACACACGTATTTATCAATATTAGTCCATAAGATGGTTATACAATTAATACAATATACTTTTATCACGGAGCACTCACTCACCGCAGCCAGTCACTCGCTCGGCTGGCGCGAATCTAAATGACCCTACCGGAACTAGTTAATTATCTGGGTGGAGTGTGCAGGTAGAGTGCAATTAAAGGGACCATACATGAAAATGAGTGTAGCAAGTGGAAACACCTTTTTGACCCTGTTACACTTGCAGTAGCAGTTGCAGCTTGCTTCAGAAACCCTCCACCTTCCCCAGCTCCACCTGTATAGATCTGCTACGAGGTGATTCATGTATGCTATATGGGGGTTATTTCATGTATGTTATATTTGCAGCAGCAATATTTCTTCACA